CATATAGCATGTATATAGTAACATATAGTAATAGTAATATACATATGTATAGCACATATGTATATAATACTTGCTCGAAATATCTTCAAAGTTTAAAATTTGCAATATTCGTTAAAAGTCGATTTTCTAAAATACTACGAATACAATAAAACGATATAAGGATTTGACTTTGAGTCATAAAAATCTAAATATTATAGAGAATTACATATTTCTCTCATCGAAAATTGAAATTGAAGGGATTGAGAGTTAGTAGAACAGTTTTAGTTGTATTAATGGCTGCAAACAGGAAGATAACATGCAGGAAAAGCTGTGCAACTAAATCGGATGTTCACCAGCAAAATCACCAGGTGCTTACAGTGGGCATCGGTCGCAGAAATCAAGATCAAAGTAAGTGGATTACGGGTGGGGATTTTGCAGCTACACCCTCGATTCGATAACCTCTCGTCCTATGCAGCAAGAACACCATAGATCGAATCGCGTTCGCTTGCATTAACCTTCGATTCGGTTTCGCGCATCAGATTCACGCTAATTAGGACTACAAATTGATAACGATCCGGCAACGGCTGATTGTTGGATGCAGTTACATGCGTGCTATAATTAGCTGTGAAATTGCGCTGGTTTAATGGATAAAATAACTTCATTATGCAAATTCTGTTACTTCTGGCAGGACAAGTTAATTGTTGTTTATAGCACCCTTTATAACTATGGTGACCACATACTTTGTAGGTCCATCGAGTTTTTGGATTTTGAAATATCACGAGTTTTGTTTATTTTTCAGATTTATGTATGAAGAAAGTTCAATTCATGTCTTCAAACTTTCATATTTTTAGAGCACTATAGTTCTGTCTCTATATTCTCAAACTTTCTGTAAATTATAATTTATATATTTTCAAATTTACATATCTCTAGTTGCTCAATTTTCCATATTTGTCTATTTCTGTATTCATAAGTTTGTGTATTTCAAATGTTTCTATTTTAAACTTCTGAATCCACGAATATTTGCGTTTCTAAAATTATATGCTTTTCAAATTTCTATATTTCTTAATTTCAATGTGCAAGAATATTGTCTTTTTATACTTTTTCTTTATACTTAAGATAATTTATTTACTTAATTGTCAGATTATTTATTATTTTATTGAATTGATGTAATGACATTTAACATTTTATTTCATAATTTTACAATACCCACTGCAGGCAAATAATAACTTTTATAAAACAAAAAGTTCTAAAAACATCTTTCAAAATTTGTAACCGATTTGAAGCTAAATAAATAAAAAATAGTAGCACTGTTTTTCTAAAAACTGTATCTTTAAAATGCTCGTAAAAAGATACTGAAAAATGAAACGGCTGGTCATTTTACTTTTGAATTTTTCAAGATCCTATTCTCTTCAATTTTTCACAAACAACAAATCTATCTAGTTACTCACATGGAATTTTTTGGCCCACTTCGTGTTTTCTTTTTAAGTGAAAACACAAGTGAATTTCTGGCGGAAAATTGATACTGTTGTGAAGCTGTGAAGTTGCTTTCAGAATTATTGAACTGAATCCAACGATCGATCGTGCGGTCATATTTTAGTGACCTGGCAGAGATATTTTGTTCCGTCGCTGTCCGAAAACTGTTATGATGGTCAGTGACCTGAATACATTTTTCATATTTATTATTACTATACCATGCTTTTCAGCTTTTTACATTGCTTTTAAGATAATGGTTTATAATGTCCCTAAGCTTTTGCGAGTTAAAATTCGTGAAATTTCAAATGTGGACACTTAACAGTCCTATTATGAAATATGTCATATTTCAATGCTTTTAATTTCATTTTCTTATTTTATTCGTAGTGTTGTGGGCCAGAAATATGATTTGAATATTTGATGTGCGGATTCTAAGCACATAACAAATATATTGATGGAGGGACTCTTGAATATGCGATTATTGTAAATAGTTGTCTGAAATATTAATAAAATTTGATCTCTTGTTTACATATAAGCAACAATTAATAATGTAGGTGAAATATTAATAAGAAGAATAGATCGTGAACGAGTTTAATATCAAATTATCAAACCGCTCAGAAATTAGTGCTGAGGTTTCTTATTTTAAATCATGGAATTTGTTAAGGTGCTTTTTTCTTCAAATAGATGTTATTTTATATCGGGATAAATAATACGTTTAGATTAATACGTTTACACTATTAGATTAATCTTTATAAAATTGCGTTTGTCGCATATTTTCAACCCGTTGTCATAGTTTGACGACTCCGACACGTGACGCACTCCTACTTTAACTGTGACAAATCTTACACGAATTTTAAATACTCTTCAATTTGGAGTTTAAGTGCAATCATAATTTGCATAATCAAGGATTAGCTAAATTCGCAACTGACATGACGTTTCAACTTTATTTATCTGCTTTAATCCTGTAGTTCTGATTAATTCTGAATCATCCACTGTTAAGCTTAAGGCCATTCTAGATGACTATAGCACATAATTACCAACAAAATTGTTATTCCAAACTTGACTACTTTTCTCTATCTTTTCAGTACTAAACCGTTGCCATACGATTTATTCGTCAAATACATTAGCAACTATCTACTTTTATTGTTGGATTATTATTAATAAATTATTATTAAGAAAACTGAATCTACCGATGAGAAACACTGTTTATTGTCTGCACAAGAAAACCGTACTGGCGCCATCAGGTCTAAGGGACCGTCTACAGTCTACACTTTTTCAGTATCTGACGCCAGTAGATTTACCAGCAGGTAGTCGAATTTTTGCGTTTCTTGCTTTGCCTGTGCTAGATATATCGTTGGAAAATGAAGGCAAGAAAGGAAGGAAATCATGTACTTTTAAGGATTTTTCTGAAAATTTCAGAATTTGAAGACATGGAAATTTAGAGATTTGGGAATTTAGGAATTTGACAGTTCAGCGATTGGGGAACTTGGTGATTTAGGAGTCTATGTAGAAGATTTTGTGATTTCAGAATTTAGGAATTTGGGGATTTTGTTATTTGAGGTGTAGAAATTTGGGAATGTAGGGACGTAGGCGTATGCATTTAGAAATTTGGGAACCTGGAAATGTACACATTTGGGAATCGAAAGATATGAAAATTTAATCATGTGGGGTCTACAGGTTTGGAAACATAGGGATTTGGGAATGTAGTAACTTACGAGTGTAAGATTTTGGGATTCTGAGATTTGAAGATTTCAGGATTTAGCATCTTGCGAATCTAAGCACTTGCGGATATAGAGGTTTCAGAATTTAGGAATTTAGGGATTTTCCATTTGGGCGTCCATAAATATGGGGATGTAAGAATTGCAGGATTCAGGAATTTAGGAACCTGGGAATTTAGATAATTTAAATCGAGAGGTTTGAGAATGTAGGGATTTGGGGATGTAGAATTTTGTATATTTGGAAAGAAATGTTGGGAAATCCCAAATTGTACTACAATAAACCAGAGATCAGAAACACATCGCCACGACGCAATGACCACCACGATGTCGGAACCCGACGCTAGAACGCCATGCCCGTAAACAACCCTGAGGCCCTTGAGTTTCACAAGGGATCAGGATATCTCTCGCTACTGGAAAAGCACATTCTCCGAAAACCCTTCGAACGCTGAACATCGCCCGCAGACTTTGGCTTAACCCTGAATATACATTTGAATTTTGCATAAAGTATTTAGCCTTACGTATTTTTCATTTTTACCTTCATTTTAGAGAAAGGAAAATTATTTCTTTTTTGCCTTATTTTTTTAACAATAAACATGATGAAGACAAAGTAGGAAACACAAAAATTTTACTACCTACTGAAAAGACTATTAGCACCAGTTACTGGCATGATGTAGACGCGCCCTATGGACATCAAACTGTTTGTCATCGAAGGGCATGGTAATAAACATAGTGCAGCCATAGTTTCTTTTTCCTTTAAGTGAACCCAGATTTTCTTTTCGGGGATCTGAACGGCACTAAACTTCTCGTGTAGTATTGAAATAGTCAAGTCACTTCCGAATCAGCAATAAAATTTATAGTTCACAAGAGATTAAAAGAGTACATTATTTTTTACTCGCTTCGAATTGCTACCGCATTAACCCCTTGATCTATAACATCCAATCAGACTCGTGACGCACGTTACAGTTCAAATGTGACAAAACTAAACCGTATTTGTATAAAGTCGATTCAAATCGAATTTGCGTATGATACCAATTGCAGTTTGTACATAATGGAAATAGGGTATGGTTTTTGATGGAATATGGGAGATTATTATATTTCAAATAACACAAAAACACAATAACTTTTAAAAGACTAAATGAATTTTTTTATTTAAGAAAACAGACTTGGAGGGATCTCTTTAAATAACCCACTATATTTTATGCGTGTGAAAAATTATAATATCAGAGAAACAATAACGAAGAAATAGATGGATTTTATTTTCTTAACATACGAAAATTTGATCAAAATCGAGCGGTGTCTTACAAGTAATCGATAAATGCACGAACTTGATTACTGACTTCTCAATATGTTTATTTTTGCTAATTTCATTGATATGAAAATTCAACAGTGTAATTAAATCCAAAATACCTAACTTTTCAATATTCTTTATTTGCCTTAACACTGCAGTAATATTTAAGTAGTTCTACCTGATGTACCTGCTGAACTTGTAGAATAAAGGGTTAAAACAAAGAAATTCGTATTACATCCGTGACTGCCCGAATTATTGGACTCAGACTTCAAATAGAAACGTATCGACAACTGCTGTAAGATTTATGACACCTGCGAATTCACAGTGGACCGAGTAAATTGAGTCCAAATATGGCAAGGAATTAAACAAAAGGAAGCGAGAAAGAGGTCGAAAAAATCTTGAACAGTATAGGTTAGGTTAGGTGTTTGCTCGAGAGAAAATGAGAATTATCAGCGTTGTCGCGCGTGAAATATGAGCGTAAAAAGACTGAAGGACGTTCGAGCACCCCCGGGGCTTAGTTTTCCATGGAACCGATGGAGGAATACTGGGACAAGCAACGAAGAAGGAGACAGGGAATCGATCCTTCCCGCAAACTGGTCTCTCTCCTGCAGGAATGTCGTCCCACTCGTTTCCGGACAAACGCAGAGCATATGAATGATTTATCTCGTCGTTTGAAAGTCGTTCAACGGATCTTCCGAGAGCACTTCGCGTCGATTTATCGGCAACCAGAGGGCGAAATACACAGCTTTTTCCGAACTCGTGCACGATCGTATATAGGCACGTATGTGGATCTCGGAAAACAGCATCGATCTCGTTTCCGGTGCGAGCGACACCATCGTCTCCTGTTGAATGCACAGCTACCTACGGTTTCAATTTCACCAACGTTCTCGTAGTTTTACATACTTCGCGATTTGTGTCGGAAACAATGGCGAAATGCAACACCTCGGAACACGAATTTTTCTGGTTATAACTATTCCAACGAAAAATTCAAAATGCGACGCGGAATTTCTTATGGATATTCGCTGGCGAGACGCGTACGAATGATACGAGAAATATTTCGAAATTTGAGTTGGATGTGGCAATCTTATTTGGAGAGATTAACTAACAAACGAAGTAGATGCCAACTTGTTATTTATTAATAGATTGCATTTATCCGATTGTTAAGTACCAACTACGTTTCAAATGTTGCTGTAGATTATATAAAAATCAAATGAATTTAGTATTTTTGCAAGTTTAGGAATTTGAGGGTTTGAAAATTTTGGAGTTTGACAATTTTGGAGTTGGGGAATTTTGGACTTTGAGAATTTTGGAGTCTGCGAATTTTGGAGTTTGAAGATTTTAGAGTTTGAGAATTTTGGATTTCGAGAAAAAAAAATGAAAAAATTTGAGAATTTGAAAACTTGAAAATTTGAAAATTTGTAAATCTGAGAATATGAGAATCTAAAAGTTTGCAAATTAAAGGATCAAAAGAATGAAATGAAAGAAAATATCGCGAATGTTGTTAATCTATGTGGTCGACCACAGAAGTAGTCGCATTGACACTTATAAAGTTTTCATCGTAAACTTTTTGTGAAAGTAAATGGTTCTTCTCGTAGTAGTTTTTTTCTAAAGCAACATACTTTTTCAAACGTTCATTTCACGAGTAAGAGCAAAGTTGAAACTGTTCTTCTGTAAGTTGATTTCATTAATCGGTTGCAACTTCCTGAATGTTTTCAAGTACGAGAAAAAGAAAAACTAGTAAGTGATTTGTAACTGTTCAAAAACAAGAATCCTTTGACTATTAAAGTTTCTGTGGTCTCATTTACTTTTATACAAAATTAAATAACTTAATGTTTAATTTTCAGTATTTACAGAGCGAAAGACTTCGTAAAGCTGTCTGTGTAATAATTATTATTTAAGTATGTTTATAATGTACTGATTATTTATAGAGAAATATAATTGATACGGAAATTTCAAGTTCTTATTGTTTAAAATTTTTAAACTTGGAAATTTAGAAATCCACACGAGGAATTTGGGGATTTGATAATTGGGAAATTTGGAAGGTTGGAAATTTAGAAATTACAAAATTTAAAAACAGAAATTTAGGTATTGAGAAATTGAGAAGTTTGGAAACTTAGGAATTTGGATAATTAGAAGTTCGAAAATTTAGAAATGTATAAATATGAAAATTTGGAAATTCGTAAATTCAGGAGTTTAGGAATTTAGGAATTCAGAAATCTAGAAATTTAGAAATTTGTAAATTGCGTCCATCACTAACTAATAACATAAACATGTTTTTAGTATTAATGACTTCCACAATAATTCAACTTTATTTATTAATTATTTTGCATTACTATTTGATTTCATTAAATGGTAACGTACAACAATGTCTAGCCATTTAATTTCCTTATTGATCATTTTATAAATATTTAGTTGAATAAATTGAGATTATAAAACTTGCATTCAAATACGTTACACTTATAGCCCTATATTATTAACATTCTTTATTGCATATTTTTCTCCTAAAAAAAAAAACGAATGAATGAATACATTTTCGATTATTTATAACACAACATTATGACTTTTTATTGGAAATAAAAAAGTTATACTGTGCAGTGTTGTATTTTGCTTCACCCAGTTGACAAATAAGCATTTCTTCAGTGTAACAATATTATAGCTTGCAGGTAGTAATAAAAGTGTTGTATTAAGAGTAACAATACCTTTGAAAATCGTTGAAAAATACGTAAACTGGCACAAATAACAACATCCAGATATTTACCTGCCGGTTGTTTATCGTGCTTTATTTTCTTTTGTCTGGAAATACAAACGATACCAGATCGATGCGGGTAGGAATTGCGATAAGTTTAGAAAAGGAAATAAAATAAGCGGGTGAAAGCGGGTATAATAGGAAACGCTTGTTTATTTATCTCTTTCATTTCAATAAATCATCATTTGAAATAAAAATATCTTTCTGAGTATTCTTCGAAAGTTTTCAAGACAAGTTTGACATTATGCACGATTTTAAATTCATTTCTGACGCTCTTAATGTACAATTTTTATTGTAATTTCTAGATACTTCAATTTATGCATATGTAATCGTTTAACATACAAACTAATATTATTATTATTATTTTAATGCGAGTTTGTTAGAAAAAGAAATATCTGTTCTGTTAGATAATTTTATAGATTAGGTGTTTCATTTCGTACTGTAAAAAAAATATATATGTATAAAAAAATACTACAAAAATTACTGTAATTAAATTATAAAATAATAAAAAACTCCTACATGTAATATGAGTCTTCCTCCATAATTATAATGGTAAAATCAGTTCTCTACTTTAAACTGTTAGTTAAATTTTCAAACACTGAACTGAATTATTTCTGGCGTAACCACAATTATTAAAATTAAATGGATACATACACGCAGCAACAGCAATGAATGGGTTAACACACGGCTATAGAGGAACTAATGAGCGGGCTTAACAAGCAGATTTTCCAAGCTGTAGCCTCGAATGAGAAAATAATGTCGTTGAACCAAAATCTCGAAATGATTTGTAACGTATGGCCTGAGTTACTCGCATGTGTGATATTTTAGTAATTTAACAGAATGAAGGTCAACGTCGTTGATGTGTCATTTTTTAGAACATTCTAATATTTCTAAAACATCCACACTTTATGAAAATATATTCATCGTTATAAATTATCGAAACTATTAAATATTCTTTAGCTATTCACGACATATACATGTGTAAACTGTGGAATCGCGTTTAATTCGTGTGTTTTCTTATGAAATATAATCTGATGAGTCTTTCTTATTGTTTTTTTTTTTGTATATATGTATATCCTGATAAATTTTGGTATTATAAATTTTCTTATATTTAGTTAGGTAAATTTTGATATTTTCAATTTTCTTGTATGTATTCAGGTAAATTTCGGTATTTTCAATTCTCGTTGTATGTATTTAGGTAAATTTTGATATTTTCTGTTTTCTTGCATATAGATAGGTAAATTTTAAAATAGTCGTGAACTCTGAAATTGTTGTAAATCGCATTGTAGTTCTCAAAGTATTAGTAGATTTTCAATATCGTACTGCATTGTACCAAGTTCTTTAAATATGCCAATGGTATTTCGAGAGTTTCAAAATAAAACAAAATTGTTTTGCACAAGTTTGCAGTTCATATTTTTTTACAATTTTCAGAATGATTTACTATGCACACTTCGCGGTATTCGATATTAGCATATTACATGTGTTACCTGTAAATGATATAGCGGAGTTTTGGTATAAAGAGATTTAGTAAAGGCATCGACTATTTTGTGACCTTCAATAAATTGAGACCTTTGGGGCATCTGCAATGCACCGATATCGAAGATAAACACGTGCTTTGGCATACTATCTTCACCAGCAACCAATTTCAGGTACCATTACAAAATGCATCTTATAAAATTATGCCCCTAGCCAGCCTTGATAAAGTGACAAAAATTCCCTGAACTTGAGAAATTTATTTCGTAAACAAAACTAACCTTGCTAAACTTTGTTCCTTTTTTATAATACATTTTATGATAAACCATCAGTAATACCAAATTTCTATTTTTCCTAAAGAAAGAAAGAAAGAAAAAAAAAATAGAATGTAAAATATAAAAATATCTATTGTATTTAATAATCCAATTACAAGATACACTTCTTAGGACTTTAGCATAAAATGTTGCATTAATAATCCGAAATGAACAGAAGATACATCTCTGATTTTTAACCCTTTGCACTTTTATGTCGAGTGTAGATCGATATCACAATTCTCTTGATCTTATAAGTAATTCAGATTAACAGATTGGTTGAATATATATATTTTCAGTTATTTACTGTTTATAATAAATGAGAAATGTATATGTCACATACTCCACACAGTTGCAATACATTTTATTGAGAACTCCTTTTTTAAGGGTAATTTTACAGTAGGTATCCGCATTTATTAGTTCCGTATTGTTTATGTGACCAATTAATGATTATAGTTATTCCTTGAAATGTGAACGGAGGGAGTAGTCGTTGCTAGTGGTGTTGCATGTTCGTTGAAAAACGCATCATTGCTGTGAATGTTTGTTTAATTTTCATAGTGAGTCTTATGTTATGTTATCCTTGAAAAACGTGTGTTAAAAACGTGTGTAATTTTCTTTGAAAACTTAGTTAAATGTTTAAATATTGTTCTGTTAATTAATGTCCATTCAGTTAAAGTTTCTACATAGGTAATAGTAATTAAGGATTGCAAAGAGTTAACGGAGTTTTAATTACCTATGGATGTAGTTTATAGGTGAAGATTACACATTTCTTTACTGTTTAATTTTATTATTAAATTTACTTATTTAATTAAATTTGTTATTTTGGTAACGTAATTTCGCATAGAATGTGAAAATGTCATACTGTATGATGCTGTATTGTGCAATTTCTTATGAAATGTCTCTATTTTGTTCACACGACTTATCAAAAATGATTACTATGAAGAATGTGCAAGAAAAAGGAGAATTTAAACCAAAAATCAAGCCAATGTGATCTGTTCAAATGGCTGTCTTTTACTAAGGAACGATGGAAAGGGGTTGAAAAATGACAGTTTTCCAGAAGACAGCAAGAAAAACAGTTCCATTCAATATAGTGTATACAGTTTTCTTAAATTTCACATTAAAAGTCCTGTTTAAAACGTGTTATAAATCATAGTTAATTTGTGCTAATAGTTCGTGCATAAAGTTTTCATAAAATATTTAGTTAAATCTTACACGAGAATGATCAATTATCAAGAATGTTTACTAGCTACTTTGTAGCATAATCGAACGCGATGACGTCGTCAGTGAATAGAGAATTCGAAATTACACGAAAGGCGACATTAAAAAGCTGC